GAGCGAATCCAATCCGGTCTGGAACAACGGGCAGGATGTGCAGCTCGGTTCCTTGAATTAACACCAAGGTGCGCGACGCTGCCACCGCCCTGATCAGGAGCTGGAGGAGCATGTACAGGTCGACTGCAGCACATTCTGCAGGGTTTAGGATTTCCGGGTTTCAGTTGTGTGCTCGCGATACGCCGAACCCTTAAAGCCCCTAGCACCAAGGGAACTCCCGAAGAGTTGATCATTGTACCCTGGTGCACCCTGAGCCCTCGACTCTAAATTACAAAGAGAGAGAGAGAGAGAGTTTCGGGAGGGAGTCTAGTTTAGGGCTTGGGGAAAACACCAAGCAACAAGGAACCCTGACCACCAAAGCGGACATCATTGGCGCTGGCTTAGCCCCAGGTTCCGTGACCTCAAACTGCCCAAGTCCCTATACTTCCCAGTAAATCCCACAATATCCTAGCAACACAAAGTCCCAAAAGGCCTGCTCCCCTAATCCCCTAAATCCCTAAACCCTAATTAAACCCTAAACCCCTACAGTAATCCCGACACGAAACCCCAAGACCCAAAACTACCCCCCCCCCCCATCCCCCCCGGCCTGTTCAGGGAGGAGCACGGCCAGACCTCCCAGTCCACGGAGGCGGCGCGCTCGCGGCAGCTGCGGCTCCTGGCTGTGGATCTCGAGGCCGTTGCAGGGTGCATTTGGCCTTCAGGGTGTTGAGGCTTCAGGCTTCAAGGGCCTGACAGTTTCTTGGGCTTGCCAGCAGGACTCTTGTAATTTAGTAATGCACCCAGTGCCTTTAGGCCGGCTTTAGGGCTTCCCATAGTTTAGGGTGTCAACGGGCCTATGTGGGTGTACAAGGATTCATGGTTGCCTTTTGGGTGTTTCGGGGGCTACTAATTCCTGTGGGAAGTCAGAGCCTTTTTGGGATCTGGTGTGTTGTGAACTGAAGGATGTGAGGGGGCTTTAGGGCTCTAGTTTCTTGCCTTTGGTTCTTAGGGCTTGTAGTGGGTTTAGGGTTTCAGTTGTTTATCTTGAGGTTTGCTCAGAGATTTCGGCCATGTGGGGCTGTTAGGGCTTTCAGGTACAAGGACCCTGGGGTTTTGGAATGCTTTGGGGTTACGCCAGTAGGAATTAAGATGCTTAGCCCCGAAATATCCCGAAATCCTTGTTGTAGATTTCCGAAATTAACCAGGCTTTGTCAGGAGAATACTTCACGGCACACATGGCTAGGTCTGACCTTTTGGAAGCAGGTTTTGGCCGAAAGCCCTGAACCTTTGGGGTTCAAGGCACGTCGGGGCTTCAGAGGTTTTGGAAGTTTTGAAGTTCAGGGCTTGGGGACCCTGTTTGTGGGAGTTCAGTTTTTCGGGTTTGGGTTTGGGGCTCTACCGGAACCCTTGGGATACATGTTTGGTTTCCTTGAGTTTGAGGGTTTAGCGTGTAGGGTTCGGGAGTTGTGGCATAGGGTTCAGGGCTTCGGGCCTGCATTAACGTCACTTGGTAGTCTTGTTTGGGCTCAGCGGGGCTCAGATTTGGGGCTAAAAGGGGCTTAGGGATTTCCAGGTTCAGGGGTTGTATCTTTGCTTGACCCTCTATATAAACACAAAACCCTGAAACATAAGCAGTTGGTTTGACGGTCCTCAGCTCCAGGACAAAGTCTTCAACCAGTGCCACAAGATGGATCACTACTGTCGCACAATCGAGTTGCTGAGCCAGGCGCTGCAAGTTTGCATGTCAAGGTTGAGCACCTTTAAGGCGGGTTATTCATGATTTCCTGAACATCAGCCCTGAAGTGTAATCCCTTCTCCCAAGCGCTCTGCCAAAAAGCCTAAACCGCATGCAGATTAAGCCGCGTACCCTAAAGCCCGAACTCGTACAGGAGCTTTCTGGCAACCAAGAAGTTTGCCAAAGCTTCGTCCAAGGCGGATCTCATCTTTTGGGGACTTGTAGGGTTTAATGTAACGTTTAGGGTTTGGGGGTGGCAAGACTTCGAGCCTTTCAAGCATCTAACGTTCAGGATTTCGTGTTTAGCGTTTATGATTCTCAGCTTCGGCAAGACATCAAATCTTATAGGGCTGACAGGATTCAGGAGCACAAGCGCGCGAGATGGACCAGCGTATAGGCGTTACGGTTCAGGTGTAGGGTTTGGTGGCTCAGAGGCCGTAGACAGAGGCAGTGCCTTCGGGCTTGCGGGCTTTGAAGGGCTTCGGGATTTTCGGTTTAAGGCTTAAGGTCTGCTTAATTTTGCATACGAGTTTAAGCCCGAAAGCCGTAGACCCCCAAACCCCCAAACCCCCAAACCCCCAAACCCCCAAACCCCAAAACCCCAAAACCCCAAAACCCCAAAACCCCAAAACCCCAAAACCCCAAAACCCCAAAACCCCAAAACCCCAAAACCCCAAAACCCCAAAACCCATGCCGCAACACCCTCAACCCTAAGACCCCAGACCACAAACCCTCGCTTTGGGCCTTGGTTAAAGCTTTTGTGGCCAGTTGTTAGGGGAGGGGGGACTCATATGCCCAGAGGTACCCTTATTCGCTTTTCCTTAGGGTTTGGTCTAGGGGCTTGGTAAGATACCCAATTAGTTCAAGAAAACAACAAGGGGCATCCGGGATTAAGGTTTACCTGGTTCCCCAAATTGCGACTGCGGGCTGCATCCTAGAGAAAGAGTGGTTTGATTGCCTCAACACCTAGACTCTAGATCCGAAACCCCAGACTGTCAAAACGCAGTTTTCTGTATACAGGTAGCATTTGAGAGTATCCCCGGTTGAGAGCGTAGGCAACGAAACCCACGCGTGGTTGAGGGTTTAGGTTGACTGCTTGGGTCCCGAACGCACCCCCTTTGGAACCGGATCCACTCTACTAACTCCTAACTCCTCAAGGACGCACTTCCGGACAAGACCTCGTTTCCAAGACCGCCACTTGGCCCTTGTCGCGTGCAAGGGACGTCGACTCATCATAACTGCTGCTGGAACTATCTTGGAAGTTCACGTTTCAGGAGTAGTCCATCATACTGTTCTAAGCGCTACACTCGGACCGCGACTGCTTTACGTCAGACGTGCATTTGTGATTCTGATATCGCAAGCAAGAAGGCTCTGTTCTGTCGGCTCTGCACACCCTGAGCCACAGTTGAGCCACAGCTCCTCGCTAGAGGCTTAAGTTAAGGCACTTTAGGCTTCAGGGTCTTTGCAAATTATTGCTGAACCTCATGCGCGCAAGTGAGTCCAGGAGCAGTCCTGGACTTCTCTTGAAGCTTTCTGGGGGTGGTCTTCTACTGTTTGGGTCTATATGCCGAAACTATTACTAAACATCCTCAAATCTTCGAAAGCCACGAGAAAAGGAAACGCAGCCAAGAGGTGGGCCTACCTCTGCGACGGGACGCACAGTCGCAGGTCCACATTCTCTAGATTGAGGCCGGCGCAACGCACTCGCACCTGCCGAGGCAGAGCAGTGTGGCTCGCCAGTAGCTCGCCAGGAGCCCGCAACCATAAAACCGTAAGCCCGAATGCGGAAGACTCGGGACAGGGGAAGTGAGATCGGGGGCTTGGATTTTTCAGCTCCGTCTGCAAGCACGTGCGGCGGCCCGCCCGCAAGGGACCGAAGGGCTAGCTGCACATCAGAGGAGACGCAGTTTCTGGTTGTAGGAGCCCCCATAAAAAAGCCCGGACCCTGGACCCCCTAAACTGCCAAATTCAACAGCCTTCCAGAACCGTCAAAGCACAACTTCCAACACGTGTTATGAACCCTAAACTTCCGCTAAACCCGACTCCTGAGCAAAGTTTGTTCTGGCGGCAGGGACCGTGCTGTACAGACATCGGACCTGGACTGCGCTGTGCTGGGAAAGACTGCCTGGTTGTGCGGTGTGTAGGCTGTGTATAAGAGGGTTTTACTGGGGCTCATCAACCTTGTCTGAGTAGCCAGGGCTCAGGGTTTTCTGTGACATAGCGCAGATCATGCGCAGAATGATTTCGAAGGCTTCGGAAAAAGCCGAAGGCATTCATGGCCCACCCAATTGCGGTTCAGGACCTGTTTAACGGCTCATGGTAGGTGGAAGCACTTTGTAAGTATCTAAAATGAGGCGATCACCAGCGACAAACTGCACTTGCATGTGTAGTTGTAAATAGCGCGGTAAGTACTCCAAGGCTTTACAAGTAATGCTTGTAGTTGTAGGTACCCCACTTGTAATCCTAGTTTTAACTACCCATGAACCTCCAAGCCCCAAACCTTTTGTATGTGTGTGGTTCGTTTGTGTAGTGTCGAATACTTAATGGGTTGGACGAGGGGGGAGTGAAGGCAAGCGTTCGTGCGTTGGGCTGTAGTCCCTGGCCACAACCATGGATTTGTGACTGGACCCTGGTTCTTGTTCTTACCATGAGCACTATCCCAGCACGCTTGCTCGGTCCCAAATGTAGGCATTTAGACCGCGCTTAAGCCACAGCCCTAAATTTGTACCTGTGCCCTAAACCCCTCTAGCAGAACTTCGCATGATACATATGTGGATGCATATGTTCGTATTTCGCTTCATTAAATAATTTTGTGGTCTTACTTACACAGCATTCGTGTATTATATATGCACACATACATATATATACATATTTATTTATTTGTGTCTTTCTTTTTTTATAAGTGTACGGATGTATCTTTTACGCTACGTGCTATACATGTACATAGATACTATATGAGTAGGCAAAGTTAACATATACATATATATATATATGGATAGATATGCAGAAGCTCAAAGTCCCGAAGAACAGCACTGACTCTACCTACCTTTGAAAAGCCCTTGGCCTAAACTCGAAAACTTCAACCCTAAACTATCCTCTTCTCCCCAGCTTCTGAACAACAAGATGTCACTTCTAAGGCTTTAATCAGCTGATGTCGCAACGTTTGATGGCAAGTTCTATATCGATTTTCCTTGGAGGGAACTGCTTTCATCAAACGCTAAGCCGCTATGCCGTCAACCCACATTCTACCGCCCTCAACCCACGGAATGTGTATTCACTTCTCGAGGCCTTTGCAAAGATGCGAGTTCGACATCCGATGCTGCTGCTGGGTTGAGGAATGTTGAGGAGCTTAGGGTTTCATCGTCTGGAATTTGGATTACAGTGTTTTTTGGTAAACAGAACTTGGGACGCGGAACCATCAAGTTGTGTGATCGGACTCTAAGTTTAAGGGTCAGGGCCTTCAGGACGTATAGGGCTGGGGTTTACATGCCGCTATGGGTTGGTGGGTTACTTTATGTGCTAGGTACATTGGCCTTTGTGATAAACCAGCCACAAGCCTGTCAAGTCATCCCAAAAGACCCGACACATGCAGCTAGAGGTCGAACTTCAGTTGGAGTTCAGAGGCAGAAGAAGATCGAAGTGGGAATAATGTGCATCCAACAACGCCCAGGCCCACAGCGGGAATCGCATACCAAATAAGGGGAAAACCACCTAAATCTAGTAGAACTAACTAAAGTTACCCAGCTTATAACCCCAGCTCTCTGCAGGGTTCAGTGTTTTGGCTTTTGTTGTAGTTGCCCTTAGTTGCCCTACTACCGAACCAAGTTCAAGCCCAAGGCTTGAGAAAATCTCCGACTATTGGCTGAAGCATCCGCAGGCGCGGCTTTCAGAGTCTTTGGCTTTTCAGATGCAGCCCTGGCCGAAGATCATACCAACTCTAGGTTGCGGGCTTAGGGCTAAGGGCTTAGACTTTACGTAGGTTTTCGGCTGGGGAGGCGGCGCATTAAAAGCATGGACTAAGCCAGCCATGCATGTGCACGTGCCGTGATCATTCGGTCCGTAGATTCACGGTGCGTCTCGCCTTGTTTGTCGTGAGTGCACCGCATTATCCAGCCCTCCAGGTGATCTCTAAGATGGAGGCAGTTGCTGCGACCCCAGCAGTCGACATTCTCGACTAACGGGTTTGAGATTTGGTGTTCAGGGCTGTATTGAGCCTGTAGCCTTGACTTGTGTCTTTGTAGAGGGTGTGTGAGACAACGATGACTTGGGGAGGGCTTGCTGGGTATGCTCACTTGAGCTCTGCCAGGAATGCAATCCTATGCAATCCTACAATTGCGGGCCGCCAACTCATGTTCTGTTTAAAGCCAGAGATGTTATCGTACGATGGATGGAGGAAATCTTGCCTTGCCCAGCACCCCGCTTCAACATCGTCTTGTGGCGCGTGTGCTTATGAACTGGTCCAGTGACGAATCCTTGCACCGCCTCGCCTCCTTAGCTCACTTCCTTCTTCGATCCCCTTCCGGGATTCCTTGCGCCTCAAAGATTCGTGGGTTGAAGGCCACAGAACTTCTTGAGGAACAGAGCCTGCCCGCAAGCTGCTGTCTTCAAATTCGCCCAGAAGCAAGCCAAAACTCTTCGCATGGAACCGCCTGGTCTCAGGATCTTCTTTTTGCCTCATCTTCGATGGCAAGGCCACGTTTGGTTGGGGCTTCAGGGTTGCATGGAGAGTTGCCTACCTAAATTCCTTGTCATCATTATTGTCTATTAACCTTCTCACAAAGGGAGGCCTCCCAAAGCCCTAAACCCTAAGCCTGGGCAGGACGTTGAGAAGTTGCAGGCTAGAGAGCAGGGCTCGGACAGTTGTTTTTTCCCCGAAGTTGGAAGTTGCTCAGAGTGTGAAACTTCACAGTTTTCTAAGCTGCGAAAGGCCATGATAAAGCCAAAGCCTAAACTTGCATCCCCATAGCCTAAACCCGAAACTGTAAGCCAAGAGTACAATCCGGGACCCAAGTAGATCATCCTGGCCTGCTTACGATGCTAAGAGTGGTTTTGGCGCTTTGAGCGGGCTTGGTTGGGCCGCGGTTACGTCGCGAAGGGATGTGTACGGCCTAGGGCCTAGGGCTTAGGCAAGATTATCCTGTCATCAAAGTAACAAGTGCTGAAAAGGGTACATCCTAGGTTGTAGGTACATTGTAGGCCTTACGGGTTGAGAGGGTTTGAAGCTTCAGGGTACAGGGCAAGGCCGTTGGTTTTACGTTCTGGCTCTGGGATCCAGAAATTTAAATGTACCGCACAGGTTCTAGGGTTTTTTGGGAGTTGGCCGGTTTATGGTGTCATATTGCTGGCGATTTTGGTTGTTTGGCTTGCAGCTAGGTTGTTAACGACTGCCCAGAAACTGTTCATATTGACGATGCTAGAGCCTAAGTTGTCCAGAAGCCCCCCAAAGACAACCCAAACTGTGAACCTTAATCCCTTTTTCCTCAAACTCCAAAAGCCTAAAGCCCAACACCCTGCGCCTGGCATCCCTTGACCCTGCACCCGAAACCGAGAGCCCCCATACAGCAACGGCGGCTTTAGGAGGCCTATTGCTGCATGGGGGCCCTAACAGGGCCTAACAGCACCTGGAGCCCGAGCCTGTGATCACGCTAAGCGCAGGCTACAATGCGCCAATCGCGACGTTTTCGCTCTTATGGCCGAGACAGTTTCGAAGAAGAACCGGCAAGGCTCTCAGGAGCCACTAGAAGCTGGGTCTCGGGATGTCTCGGGTTTAGGGTTCAGGGAGTGCTGTTTGCAGCAGTTTTGGGCTTTCGGGGTGGACTTGACTTAGGGGCTCGGGGCTGAGGACCAGTTTCAAGCAGCGTGCTCCGTTCGCTCGAGGAAACCGCTTTCTACATCCTGTACCTTTGGCCCGACAAATTGTTACAAGTCATTACAAGTCCTAACAATCTGGCTGCAGAGAGAAACACTCTGATTTCATATGTGGATAGTAGAGCAACTTGCCCTGCAGAATATCAAGCCCCCAAAAAACAACAAATGTGTGATAAGATTACTACCTTTCCAATGTCCTTAAGGGAGGCAGGTCGCGAAGGCAATCTAGTTAACGAGTAATCCGTACTGATCCCTAGGTAAGGTTCCCTGATTGCCTCCCTCTTTTTTGAACCGCCGCAAACCCGCAAACCCCAATCCCAAACCCGGAACCCTTTTTCGCGTAGCAATCGAATGGCGGATCGGGTCGGGGAGGCTCTGCATTCTGCAGTTATCCGCTTCCGTTTAGTGTAAGCTTCACGACTTTAGATGTAGGGCTCTGGGCCGGCGTACAGGGGCGTACGCATGCCATCGCCTCAACTCCACCTGTCTAACCGACAACACCTCACTCAAAGTCAGGGATCTTTTGGCTTGAGGCAACCAGGGAAGTAGCTCCTGTTAGAAAGACTCCCCGCAGTTTAGGTTTAGGGTTAATATAGGGATGCAAACCGCTCAAGTTAAGCCCTCAGAACCCTAGAGTTGGCAGGAAGGTCAGCCCAAAGCAGGCCATTTACCTTCTGCAGTCTTTTGCGCAGGCGCCTCCGTTGTCGATTTGGGTTTCCGGGAGCTTTAAGGGGAGCCTCGGGAAGATTCGGGAAGTGCCCACAAGAGGCCGTGAAAACCTCTTCCCAATTAGGGGGCTGTAAGCACATGAAGAATGGATTCTCGCCTGTTTGCTGTATACCTGGCAGGTTCAAGAAGGATGTTGTCCAGGGATGTTTACAGTTGACAGTTCGGGTTGAATGATGAGGGCGGAGGGATGTTTGAAGTTCATGATGTACTCCCCGTGCACAACATGCTTGCGCCGAAGCCTCTTTCCGAAGGCGCGCAATACCTCATTTCTTAAGCCCTGAGCCTTGCTAGCTTAAGATACAGCTTTTGCCTTCATGCGCTTAGCACAGAATGCTTGGACCTCTTGCTCCAACGAACCATCCGCGTAGTCACTGCTAAGGGGAAGGGGCTTGAAGCCAGCTCCTCCACGCCTCAACCCGACATTGGGGTTGACTTGGTGCAGGTGTTAGGGCTTTAGGTTATGCAACCTATAAGCAATAGGAATTTCTTCTTGAGAACTAAATCGCAAGCGCTAGGCCGCTAGACCCTCGCTGGAGGTCCAGTGCAGTGACCTTGGTTTGACATCATCTCTTGCGCCACTTCTTCGCCAAGCTTTGCAGGACCCAGGCCCTCACACCGGGTCAGGATCTGGGAATGGGGGGCTTAAAGCGTGCCAAACGGCGCTTTGTGACCGCGCAGCATGCAGTCTGCTGACCTACTCACCCAAGCCCGCGCTCGTACAAATCTCTCAGTCATGCGTTGCGTAAAGTTAGTTTTGCCAGGGGCTTGCACGTGCTTGCGCAGGCTCGCGTTTTGGGATTGCATGCAAGGAGCCCCACTGCCTGGAGACTGTATCTCTTTAAGCTCTGCTCGACACTCGTAGCTTTTGCATAAACTCTTTAATGCCAAGCCGCTAGCCCTTTCAGGCAGTCCCCACGGATCACCGTCCATGTGGCCTTGCACATCTGTAGTGGGATTCGAGCTTGATGCCCACACGCGCCCGTCGCCCCCACCCCTTCCCTTCCTGACGCCCCCTTTGCCCCCCCACCCCCAATCCCACACTCCGAAGCCCTCTGAAGCCCGACACCATTAAACCCCACACCTACGCCGTTTGCAGCACGTCAACTCTTGAAGGCCCCAAGCTTCCCCTCGCTTCGAGAATTGTCGCATTGCGTGCTACAGGCCGTCAAGGGCCTTCACCCTCAGACTGGGTGGTCCGAATCCCAGGGCGGAGATGGTGTCAGGTTGGGGTTGAGGTTGGCGTTCAGGTTCAATGGGGAACTTAGGACGGTTAGGTTCACTACGGTCAGTACTTAGGGTTCCGGGTTTGGGTTTAGAGTTCGGGTTGATGTGTTCAGAAAAGGAAATTGTGGGATGTTGGGGGATTTCGATCTGTAGTGCTCGGGATTCTCGACTCACCACAAGGGCTGATCTAATTCTACGGGTACCACAAGCGAATAGAGGTCCAGAAAAGGACGATAAAATTTTGATCAACCCCCAATGTAACCACGGGCGTTCTTTCGTCCAGGACGACCGAAATCCCACGTGATTTGGGGTTTACATTGCAAGAAGAATGGAGACACCTGCCAGCCATCTTTTTTTGCTTCAGAACGAACCTAATGGGCAATTGACTTGCACTCTTGCTCCTTCAGTATTCATGTCACCCTCCCACCTTTTAGGGTTTAAGATTTAAGGCTTAGGGTTTTGGCCTCTTTCTCTCTCCCTTTCTCCTCCTCCCTCCACCAAACATTCCATGGAAGAGGCCATGGTTCAACTCTGGCCCAAGCTTTGGGCTAGGATCTGGATTTCCGACCTTAGCAACCAAAGTGCCATAGGGTTACTGTCAGGCATTAAACCCTAGATCCTCAAGCCCAATGTCAGTCGCCCTCCAACCTGGCAGCAAGTATTTACGTTGAGCTTGGAAAGCCTCTCTGAGACTAGGGCTTCGGGCCGCTTAGGGGTTTACAAGGGCTTCGGGATGCAGAGCTTTACTTTGCTGCAGTTGTTTGCATGGATTGGGTAGCCCGATTTAAAAAAAGTGACGCTGAGAATCTTCACTCTCATGGTTGTCCGGAGAGTTTTGTGCCAAGCAGGACGAAAAGTGCATGACTTTCTGCCCGACTCTAGGTCGCGCTTGGCGCTCTTTCGGCCAACGGCGATGCTCACACTGCAGACGTGGTTGAGCTATGCGACTTGCATTCACCTCAACACTATAAACCCTAAACATTCATCCCTGAGCCCTACCTAAACCCAATCCGTACACCTGCGCAGCTTCGGGCTGGCGAGGTGAATCGATCGTTGACAGCTGCGACTTCGCACGCTTGTCTACCCTCGACATCGCGCCTGCTGGCTCACAAGATAGGTTGGGATGGTCAGGCTTAGTACCCTAAACCTTCAAGCCGAAAAGGGTCTGAAGGTTGAAAAGATTCAGTGCTTCAAGTTTTAGGTCTGAGGGTTTGTGGCTTCAAGGGGTTGGGCTGGGGTTTATTACTGACTGTCGGGCTTGGAAGGATAGGTTTGAGTGAGGCTTCAAGGGTTTTGGGCTGGGTTTACTACTGACTGTCGGGCTTGGAAGGATAGGTTTGAGGGTAGAGTGCAGGATTCTGGATAAGGACTTAGGGGTTTTAGGATCCCATCCCATCCGGGGCGGATGGGGGTTCAGGTGGGAAGTTTCCTGTATGGGCTGTATCGGGCCTATGCGGGCCCTGTCTGTGCTGTTCATAACAGGCTTGTGCGGCGGTAACTGTCCCGAAGTCCAAGTCGTTGCCCAAGCACTGGTTGCTCCTACGTCTAGGCCCAACGCCATTAGAAACCCTGAGCCTTGAGCCCTCAATCCCAAACCCCTCGTAGACCCATGGGTCTCCCACAAAGGCCGTTTCGGGTTTAGGATCTTATGGGGCTTAGGGGAGGTCCATTCCCTTTGTTTTGTGTTGAAGCTTACGTAATATGGCTAGGGCAGGGCTTAGGGTTTCGGCATGTTCCGGGTTTAGGGTCCTCCAAATAGCTCTACGGCTATTCCTGAGGTTAGATCCATATTCGCAGTTTCTTCAAGAAAGAAATCAGGGATGACCCCCAAATATGCTCCTAGCCTAGGAAGTTCCCCCGCAACCTTAAGCACCCATTTATAGGCCCGTTTCACCCTAACCGCGCAAACCAGTGTACCTTCCGAGGCAGCTGCTGCGGGCGCTGTCCCGGCTGCCGCTGCTGAGGGCGCCTCAGGCAAGGCGGAAGAGAGACCGGGGTCTTCGGAGATGGGCTTATAGTAGGGCTTGGGAGCCACCTAAGGCCTTGAGCCCTTGAACCTAACCCCTCGAACCCCTTGACCCCCTCAAACCCCTTACTCCCAAACCCTGAAACTCCCTCGACGCGCCTAACCCTTCAACCCCAAGGCAGCCCCGAGCCCTCGACGCCCACTAAATCGTTAAAGTCCCCCAGCCCTGAAGCACATGTCTAAAAGTTAATAAGTACGCCGATAGACAAAATCATAAGACATGGCACAGGTTAAACCAACTAACCCTCAAGCCAAACAGCCCTCAAGCCACCTAACCTTTAACCCCTCTCATCCCCTCAACCCCCGACTCCCCAACCTCCCAGGCCCCCCAATGTCCCTGCCAATCCCCCTTCTTCCCCACCTCAATACCCTTAAACTCTTGAACTCCGTTCTGAACCCACCCCGTACCCTAACACCCTAGGCCCTAAGACCACCCTTGACCTTCTAATCCTTTGAGCCTCAAGCCATCCACCCCCACCCCCCCCACACACACACCCAATATGTTGATGCGTTTTTGTTCGCGTTGTCCTCGTCTTTGCTTATTCAACGCTTGAACGCTAAATCCTAAACTCTAAACCATTCTACACCCGAAACCCCTGCTCTGTCAACCTTAAACCCGTAGCTGGAAAAATGCCCAAAAAACTCTAACCCTACACCCTCAATCTGTTAAGCCGGCTCATTGGCATGCATAGTTGGCATTGGGGATACGGGTAAGGTAGCTGCTACAACTGGTTGTGGGCACTTGTAGCCCTTCTTACAACTCACGACCCAAACCCCAAACCCTGTGAGGCCTTAAACTCTCAACTGTAAACCCCAGGCACGAAACCTTAAACCCGACGAAACCCCAACCTCCTAAACCCGGGAGGCCGCCGAGTCCTTGGCCTGGCGCGTGCTGGAAGATCCTGGGGGCCGCTCGCCGTCTTCCAGGTTGGAGGTTAGGGTTTGGGGCTTGGAGTTTAGGGTTTGAGGGCTACATAGGATTTAGGGCTGAGGTTTACTTGCAGGTTCACGGGTAGGGATAAGAAGCCCGTGCCCTTCTAGCCCGCTATACCTCGCCATGAGCCTCCACTGATCGAGCCGGGTTTCCCGAATACCCTGTGGACTCTACGAGCGTAAGGTCTGTTTATTCTTGGGGTGTGGGGAGTCGTGTCTACGGGATAGCTTTTGGGGATGAATGGCCCTCCGCTCCAAGCCCAAGGCTTTGCCACACCCGATCTCCTCTTGGCAGTGCATTCTGCCATCAGCTTACACTGCGGCTTGGCAAAAAGCCGAAGTCCTGCAAGCCCCCTCAACCCTTGACCCTAAACACAAAAACCTTAACCAGCTCAACCCCGATACTTCACACCACCTCTCCCGGTCCACACCCCATGCTGTGCTGGCTTCTGCCAACAGACCCCTTTTGGGTTTGGTGTTCAGGCTTTGGGGTGCTCAGGGCCGCAGGGTTTGTGGGGGCGTTGCTTGGAGGATTGGGAATCTAGAGTGGCACTGCAAGTTTAGAATTCCTTTCATGGGGGTACCCCAAAAAAACTGCCCCCATCTTCGGCATCATGATTGGCAGAGGTTTGAGTTCAATGTCACAAGACTCACATCTAGGGCGGCTCGGGCTCCTTTGCCCGCAGTTTTTTGTCGGTTATAAGGAAAATTCTTGCAGCATGAGAAGATCGTCGTTGGCGGGTCGGATGTTTTGCACACACAGCTAAAACTTGAGGAGCTGTGTTGCGGGAATCGTGTTTTTGGGGTTTCCCATCTTCAGATCGTCGTTGGCAAGGTCTCTTTTTGAAAAACAGCTGAACTCTCGAGATTCTGCATTGCGGAAATCATGTTTTGATGATTTCCTATCTTTAGACGGTCTGACTTTTAAAAGTATGCGACGGGAATCATTGTTTGCATGGACGTTATCATCGTTCCGGCATGTGGCTGTGGCCAATGAAGGCACTGGGCAACAAGTGCGGGCAAACGAGCCCGATGCAGCCCGGAGCTAGGTATGAGCGCCTGGGTAAGGTTAGGGTTTATGGTTTAGGAGCATGCTCTTGAAACCCTTCCCCACAGAACCCGTGCAGAATCCTAACGTCACGTCTTGCGGTCTGAACCCCGGGGATGAGCACTTGTCAACCCTACCTCTTCCTATTCTGTGGCATAGACCCTTTGTCGATTGAGATAAACATGCACGGATGCACGGAACCTCCCTGAACCTTAGCCACAAATCAAAGGTTCGTTCAGCGTCTTCAGAACTTCAGAACTTTTCAGAACTTCGGAGACCCTTTTTTTTTGGTTTTCAGGTGACATGCCCAACTCCGGCATCAGCGACAGTTTGTTTCGCTCCTTCGCGGCGCTGCTCTCCCAGGCCTTCAAATCGCTCCGCGAACCCGGCACTCCTAGGCCCTGAACTTCCTGAACATACTTCTGAACATCAGAACGCAGACGGATGTTTATCGATCACCACAAAACACCGACCAAGTCGAATCCCCTTCTCAAAGGGCCCCGAGTTTCTCAACCCACCCCCCTACAAAAGCTTCAATGCTTTCTGCTTTCAGTCGTCCCCAAAGAGACAGAGAATCCCCAAAGGCGAGGCGCAGCATACTAGGCCAGACTCCCAAGCCCATATTCTTGTATTTGTTACGTCCTTAAACCCTCAAAACCCCCATTCCTGATGTATTTCTCCCTTAGCGTTCTGAAGCCTTAGCAGGGTTGGCTTCGAACCCGGCGCTCAGTTTCGGATGGCTTTCAGTAGCATTACTGGGCCCCAGGCCTTAGGGTTTAGAGTTGCGCTTTTCCGCCAAAGTCCACCGACCTGGCCTCCCAACACCGAGTAGGACACCCGAAACTCAGCCCTAAACTCCTTCTGGACCTTGCGCCCAAGACCGGAGCACCAGCGTCCATGCCAATGCCAACCAGAGCACGCCCCTGAAAGAGCTGTGAGAGTGCAACCCCAAAGCCCGCCAAAATCCCCTCCGGTCAGGAGCTGGCAGCTGGTAACAGGCTGGAGTTTGGGCTTACTTTCGGCTTGGCTGTGCGCAGGATTCGGAGATCTATCGTAAGTCCTCATATGTGTTTAGGGGCTTAGGAGGGTTCTGGTGCAGACACCACATATCACCTACTTAATCCTAAGCCCTTAACCATGGCAAGTGGGTTTTTAGGGACAACGGACCTCCGAGTAAGGCATCTTTTGGGGGGGTCGATGGTCGCACAGATCTGGGTCCAGTTTGTGTTGGTAATACAGGGTCTTAGGTTTACGGAACATAAGAATAGGCGCCCAATTGAACCTCGAAAAGGCACAGTTGCACTGCCTGTAGATTCTCAATGGGTTTAACCCTACACTCGACACCCAAAAGTCTTAACACCAAAGGCCCCAAATCTCAAACCCCAAACTCTAAACCCACCCTGAACCCCAGACCCGAAACCTATTAAACGGCGCAGGCTGTCCATGTTGACGGCATCAGAGCTCATTATGGCTGTGAGCACGCTGAGCAAGGCACGGTCGTCTAGTGCCTAGGGCTTCTGTCCAAAAGTTTCGAGCTTAGGGCTTAGCATTCAAGACCCTAAAGACAAAGCGCTACGCTCCTAAATCCTGAACCCAGAACGCTCCAGACAACAAGCCCCTGAATCCCACACCCAAAGTTCAAAACCCCTGAGCCCCAACGTCCCACCCAAGAAGCTTGCAAGTAATCCTGTGGGACCGGCCTCGCCCCCTGTGGACCTATCACACGGTAAACCCTGATTCTCCCCAAGAAGGTTCGTTGACCCCAACCATTACTACTAAGGTTTAGGGTTTAACAGGCAATGTCATCGATGCACGTGCCGCAAACCGGGCACCCTGATTCAACGAAGTCAAGGATGACAACCGCAAAGGTCACAGACTGTTTGTGAAATTCCTTCAGCCCCGATCACTAAGCCACTAAGCTCGATGCCCTAAACTTCCAGACCTGAGCCCTGAGCCCAAAACATCTTGAACATTCTCGAACGAGGCGGCGTGCTCCGAGGAGGTGCCCTTAATCTGCCTCGAGTTTAGGGTGTAAACGGTGTAGGGTTGAGGGGGTTCAGGGGTGAGTATCCTATGACTATCCTTTGCACTCTTAGAAGGCGCATTTTGTTGCCTTCTCAACGAGTAGTCTGGCTGGGAGTTAGGGTTTACGACTCGGATCCTGGTGTAGGGTTTAGGAATTCGGGCGTTACGGTTGACGAGTAGGGGATTTGGGGGGTGTTGGTGCAAGAAACCTTTAACGCTAAAGCCGGCTTGCAGATTCAAGGTCTAGGGACTTAGGGCTGAGGATCCGAGCAGGCTCAGAAGGTTTTGGGGTTTGGGGTTTCCCTTGTAGGTTGCAGGGTGTAGGGTACAGGGGGATGGGTGAGTGCTCTAAGACCAGGGTACCAATTCGGGATCCGTGCCGAAAAAGGGGCCCTGGATGTCTGGAGATGGTGGGCAAGCTGGCCCACAACATTTTCGGGCAGCCCCTGTTGCTGGTCGGCCCGGCTGGAGCACCTCTGAACTACCGGTCAGGTGTCTGAGGTTGCAGCGACTTCTCAGTTTTCAAGCCATCCCCCAACCGACACCGAAGCCTTTCAACAGCTACGAACCTCTTGGACGCCCCATTGAAGGGCGTTCGAGAGCTTCTGGCGCCTCCAAAACTGGCTTTGGGCACCGAATTACTAAACCCTACAACCACAAGGCAACGGCTACGAAGGAAGGAGGGTTCCCGTAAACCCTGACCAGAACCCAGTCCCATACCAGGATTGCAGGCTGCATGCTGTTTGGGGCCATGTGGGAGTTGTAAATACTGGGGATTCCAGGGCAGCCAGAGTCCACGGGCCTCGTAGGCCGCCTGGAACGCTGTCACCAGCCAAGCGACAGCCCTGTTGGCGGAGCTGTCGCCAGATCTGGGCCGCGCCGCGGCTCAGAGCTTGGGGCTTGGGTAGCCGATTCGAACTCAGGCCCCAAACTTGATTCAGGGGTTCAAAAAAGGGTATCCTACGATTCCATTCAAACCTGTTTGGGGAGGAGGGGGCTGGAGGGGGAGGTTACACGCATTGAACCCAAGGAAGCGAGCTCCAGACTCTGCTCCACGCCATGCTGGTGGTGCTGAGCGCCTGCGCGCGTCACCAGCTCCAGGAGATCGAGTCCTGGGTGCGTTTTCGGATCTCAACTGGGATGTAAACAACATGTTTAAAATCCCTGAAAGGGATGAATTCATTAGAACAGAGCTGAGTCTTCGGGTTTCGGGCTTAGGGCTTTAGAATTCGGGAATTGCGGTGTTTTAGGGTTACTGTAGGGGTTTCTCCGCACAAGAAGGATCTACAACTGATCTGCAGTTCGGGGGGCAGGGGAGGAGGGGAGTCGAACCCTAAACCCTGAACCCTTTGGTAGGTATATATCTTTAGACTTTGTGGTGTGTAGCTGATCGCAAAGTGCAGGACGGAAACCTCTTCAGGGCCACGCTCTTTGGCTTCATTAAAGATGGCGCCCTTACACCTTGGACTTGAAACCAGGGCTCAGGGTTGATGCCGAAGAGCCACGAAGAGCCAGCGTAGGACTGAACCCTAAATTGAGCACACGAGCACTTAAACAACCAGACCAAATCTACAAACTAAACCCAAAAAGTATCCTCCGGACGTTCGGGGCTCCTGAACTTAAACCTTTATCTGCCAAGTTTCCTAGACCCGAAACTCGAAACCTACCAACAGTCCGAAGCTATTACGAGGGTCTTTTCGATGCGACGAGTGCCGTTTCCCCGGCTCGGCTGCGTTCCTTTGGAAGGGTTGTAAATATCCACTCCGGCACTTCCTACTTCCTGTGGGTTGCCGGAAAATAGGAAGCTCTTTGTGGTTCCTCAAAAAATGGATTTGTAGTTTGGTGCGTGCACGAAGCGGTACCGCTGTTGGAGAAGGCTCCGCAAGCGGGCGGTTGGGGCCCTCAACATCCCTAAAGCCCGACACCGCCGGGCATTCGCTCGGCGGAATTTGTGGCACCGAAAGCCCTTCGAACCCTAAAGCCTAAACCCCTAAGCCGCAAGCCCTCTGAGCTCTGAATCCTCAAAGGTATGCGTGGTTGTCCCGACTGCACGACGGAAGCTTCGTCGCCACGGAGAGATGGCACCTGCTGGCAGAGGCACTCCAGACCCTTCACGCACTTTGCCTCCCTCTCTTTCCGGGTTTTCGTTCCACTGTTTTGTGGCGCCTGCTGGCATCCTGGCGTAAGCATGGTGCTGTAGAGTTGGTGTCACTAGCTTGGTTTGCTCTTTCGCTTTGTTTCGTCTTCATATGTGGAGAGAGCACGAGAGAGCCAGAGCAAGAGAGAGCAAGAGAGAGCGAGTGAGAGAGACAGAGGGAGGGAGGGCGAGAGAGAGAGAGAGAGAGAGAAACAGCAACAAGCAAAAAGGAGAGAGCGCGGGGAGGAAGGGGAGTGGTAATGGACCTGCTCTGATGAACCTTGAGGACCCCTAAGCCCATCAGTCCATGCTTCCCCGAAACGCTGTACACCTTTGAAACCCGGAAACCCAAACCCTAAGACTACCCGAAGTATGCCCTAAATACCCTTTAAGTACTGAACCAAGATGCCCCCAAGCTGGCAGGATGTCGTGCGCCAGGCTCGGCCTCCTAGGACCGGGTTTAAAAGGCTTGGGGGTGAGGGCGCTCTGAGGGGGGTTTAGGGGTCTAAAAGGGCTTCAAAGCGTTTCAGATGTTCTGGGTCTAGGAATCCAAAATGATCTACATTTGCCTCCGTTGTTTGGTTTAAGCTACGGGGGTTCAGGGCTTGGGGTCTTTAACGTTAGTTTCTACTGCTTTGCGGTGCAGGGTGGTCCATGGAACCCCTCGCCACACAGACGAACGCCAAAGGGTTTACTGGAGAGCTTTGGCAACATATATCTGAATAGAAATTCAGCGACCAGAAAAGATGAGTCTGAAAGTGACGATTTGGCTTATTCAACCTACCAGGTTGCTCTAGCACGGGCTCAGGTCTAAGCGTTACTGTAGCGTTTTGGCCGAAAGAGCAAACACCTGCCTTCTGAGCTGCCCAAGTGACTGCATCGTTCCCTTTCCGAACTTGTTTGAAGAATTCACTGAACTCATCTTGCACTTAAAGTCTGTAAACCCCGATTGTTAAACCCTAAACCTCCACGTTGTACAGTCCCCTCCAAACACGCCAGGGCCTCTTCGCCGGATCTTTGGCAAAGCTGGGAGCTGCAAGCTACATGGAGACGCAGGCGTGTGCAAAACAATGTTGGGGCTGTAGGGAGTGGATTTTGGGTTTAGGGGGTTTTCTGATTACTGGTTGGGCCGGCTGGCCCCTCCTGCCCCCCACAATCAATCCGTGAGAGCCTGGTACAACTGCCACAAGATACCACTGCAGCAACGAGAGCTCGCGCTGAAAAACCGAATCAAACAAAAAACATTAGTTGACAGGTTTCGTGCTGTTGCTCTTGGCTACGCAGCTACTTAGCTTTTTGGTGTGTTCCAACGAGGAGGAGTAGCGCCGAATTGATGGGTGGGAAGCCCTAAACCCTAAACCCTTGGATAGTTCGGTGGGTTGCCACATGGCCTGCGCGCAAGAACGGCGAGACCCCCAACCACGATCTGAGAGGGTCGAGTCGATGGCTCTGTGGCATGCCCCAAGCCGCAAACCTCAAACCAGGATGTTACGAATCCACCTGGCTGTTGGGGTTAGGGGTAGTTTAGGGTTTACACGATTGCTGTGCCTTAAACACTACCGACACAGACGCCCTGCCGACGCAGCACGACTGGTAGCTGGGCCAATGCGCTTTGCATTTGTCTTCCCTGTATGTGGATATCGGCACGCCCAAAACCAAGCATGTGGCGACAGCTTCGAACAAGTCCTGCAGGCCAGAGCTCCAAGCCCTATAAGCCCCCAAGGTCTGCAACCCTGAGCCCTAAACGACAAGTATGGATTCAAGATGAAGGATTGGTGGTAGGTGGGCTGTAAGACAATAAGATCAATAGGAAGTTTAGGGATGAAAAGCATCTGAGTTCCCCGATCCCAAGCCCTAAAGCGCCCATGGCTTGACTCGTTGGAAGCGACATGTCAAGCGGCGAAGGCTTGGGGGATCGCCCCTGCCGATTACTTCGGCACATGGAGCTACATCCTTCATTGCCCCTCGCTTCGGACGGATGCTTGTTGGGTGTTGAGGGTTTACTGCTTAGAGGAGTTGATGGTTTCTAGAGCCTGGGGGCTTGGCTTTAATTTACGGTCCAGGAACATTGACTCAAGGACATTGACATTCAGAGTTATGCTATGCTCTTGCTGCGAAGTAAACTGGATGACATGGGCTCTTTCTTCATAAGGGGCGCAGTCCAAGTTCCGCCCGAAGCCAACACTTCACGGCCTGGTGGGGCCTGTACATGCCTGTACCATGACACCCCCCCCCCCCCCCTAAATGTCCCTGCAACTGGCGCTCGCAGTGAACCTTGGTCCTGTAATGCAGACATGTCCGGGTTGCTCAGGGACCCAGAGTGGACGCTTCTTGCTTGTTCTGCGTGTTATGTTCCCTTATAAACTCTTCCAAACAAGATCTGTACTGTTGCTATTGCACGTTGCTCTGGGACATGGTTTTTGCGTATGGACTCCACAGGTGCATGCTGAAGTAAGGAGTATTGGGTCTGCTTCCCCATCTTTACAAGGGTATGCAGCACGGTATGCAGTTACGAAGTTGCTCTGGGTAGGCTCTGCGCTGAGAATGTGGGAGTTGTTCAGGGACCTTCTCGCCGTGATAGTGGCAGGCACCGTCGTTCTTACAATTTGTGGGAGGCACCAAGCCGTTGGAGGAGCATGAGTTGTGGAGCCCAAACCCTAACTCAGAACCCTAAACCCTGAATATGATGTGCAGAAAACAGATTCACGATCGGCTCGGAGCACGGTTCTTCAGAAGTCGTCTTCGATTTGCGGTTTGGAGTTATTGACTCAAGGTTTTCGAAAAATAGGGTCACTTTTCGGAGGCCTGTTTGAAGGAGTTCTGTTATATTCGAGGATATAACCATGGAATTTGAAAGCTTCCAATAATTTATTCTGCCCAATAATTCATTCTGCTTTGCTACCAGTTCAGCAGAGGTGTTTGGAGGTCGGAGGAACGATCGGTAGCATGAGCAGGTCCGTCGCAGATGTGCTTCAAGGATTCGGTTCAGGGTTCCACACCACGTCCAGCGCAGCCGAGCTGCACACCGACTGCAGCACTGCAAGCCCTAAATCCCAAACCCAAGCCCGCAAGCTTTCGGGTCCGACCTACGGCTTATACACGGGTTACAGTCTAGGGATGTTTAGGGTGTGGGGTTCGAGTTTTGGTTTAGGCATCCTGCCCTGAGGTTGCAGTTCGGCGGGGCATCTCCAGGATCGGGGTCTCCTATTCTTAGGCCCGGCCCGGTCATTCGGGTGTGTTAGCCGTGCCGCTTGTTAAGGGATAAGGATGACCCTTGAAGTACATCCAACCTGTCGAGGGCCGCTTTGCAGGGGTGGGTTCCCTGGTGTGAGTGTAGTATCCAATGAGCAAAGTCACCCTTTTTTTAGTGTCGTGTGTTGGGCTGAACGAAATTTGAGGCTGTGATTGGACTTTTTTTCTTGGCGCGGGGGGGCGGCGGGGTGGGGGGGCGGGGGGGGGGGGCAGGAGTGGGGTGAAAGGGAGGGCTTGGTTGTACCTTGTAGCCAGGATTGCGACCGACCTGGTTGCGATGGAATATCTCGAAACTTGCGAGGCTTGGGCCATGCTGTTGCCGGCTTGCCCAGCCACCTGGCATAAAGTACATAAAGTATATGGGTGTGTATACATATATATATACATATTTATATACATGTGTGTATAGTACATGTAGTACAATGCGTGTAGTACATACAGTTCATATAGCATGTTGGTTCATCGACATGCTGGTAGCTTATAGTCACCTTCTGTATGTCTGTGTATGTGTGCATAAGCAAATATTCATCAACCCCAAAACCAGTAGTCCGAATCAGTACGAGTAGCTTGTGGAATTAGTCTCCTGTCTATACAATTTTCCCTTCATATACACATATAGATATATATATATATATATATGGAAGCAGAACTCTGCAAGCCGGAAGCCCTAAACTCCTTTCGCGGGTTACTTTGCGGTCCACCATCCAAAGCCCTCAGTCTTAAACCCCAACCCCAAGAACCATCCAAGGAGCAGAGGGGCAGCTGCACGGCTTGCTGCGCGACGCGGCCCTAAAGCAGCGCCTCGTACCGAAACCTGAAACCTAAAATCCCCTGAACCCGAAGCCATCCTAAGCCCCACTGACCCTACAGCCCTTAATCCCTGAACTCCAAACCCTAAGGCCTGGATGTTTACTTGATATTAAGAATCTTTCCCCGATTGCAGGCCCTGGGCTGCCTAAATGGAAACCTATGGGCTGTGCGAGATGGTACGCGGGGTTGGGGTCCAATCTCAACAAAGAAGCAGCGCACTTACCAGGGGAGGGGGGGGGGGGGGGGAGGGGGGGGGGGGGGGGGGGGAGGAGGGGGGGAGGGGGGGAGGGGGGGGAGGGGGGGGGAGGGGGGGAGGGGGGGGGGGGGGAGGGGGGGGAGGGGGGGGGAGGGGGGGGGAGGGGGGGGAGGGGGGGGGAGGGGGGGGGAGGGGGGGGAGGGGGGGGGCGGGGGGGGGGGGGGGGGGGAGGGGGGGGAGGGGGGGGGAGGGGGAGGGGGGGGGGGGAGGGAGGGGGGGGGAGGGGGGGGGGGGGGGGGGAGGGGGGGGGAGGGGGGGGGAGGGGGGGGGGGGGGGGGGGAGGGGGGGGGAGGGGGGGGGGGAGGGGGGGAGGGGGGGAGGATGTAGGGGTTTGAAGGGTTTTTTCGAGTGAGTCAAGGAGTAAAAGGGCTTTGGGGGTTTAGGGTTGAGGGCTTTGCGGTTTATAGTTTGTGGGTACTGGGTGCGCCTGCAGAGTACGTAAGGCGAAGGGGTTCAGGACTAGATCCTAGAACTCTAAGCGCTGTATACACTAAACACTCATCAGCCCGACGAGCCTTGCATGGGCCGAACCCCGCGTCGTAGTTTTGGCTTCTGCTGTTTTGGGAACTTTGGCGTTGAGGCCCCACTCTCAGCCCTCGATCGTGCTTCAAGGTTCGTGGCCATTTGAAATTAGGGCAACTGTGCTGTGAGAAGGTGCAACCATGCTTATCGTTTCACATGAAACCAAAAGCTGATCCCTAAAGCCTCAACAATGAACCCTACACTGTAACTTGGTCAGAGGTCCAATGACTCGTAAGAGCGGCTTCAAGCCCGTGCTGGTAATTTTCGGTGGAGGGCGGTTGGGGGCTTCCACACCCTAAAAACTCTGAACCCTCAACCCTACACAGTTGCCCTGGGCTGCAAGGTGCCAGGCCACCGCCAACGCTGTTCCGGCAGACGCGCGTAAAGCCAACGCCTCAGAGCCTTTGGAGGAGCACTTTGGCAGCAAATTTGGGGGTTCAAGTTTTAGGGCGCGTTGGCTCTGACAGCGATTTTGGCCACTAGGGTTTGGGATTGGATGTTTGGGTTTGGGGCTTGTGAAGCGGGCCTCGGGTTGTTGATATGGTGATTAACGTTAGCTAGCCGTGCTATGAACTGAACATGAAGTAGAATTTCAAAATATCACCTGATTCTGGTAGCTTAGCTGAAGATCTTGAAAAGTAAGCCTGACTTTGGTGGCATTCGGGCTTCGGAGATTAGGGTATTGAACGAGACTTGGGGTGCGTGTGCTGGGAGAGATTGGGCACAGGAGTTTCAGGTTTTTCTTGAGCAGGGTTTGGGGTTGAGGGTGGAGGGTTCAGGTAATTTCGGCCCAGAGGTCAAGCTATAAAGCCATGAACCCTGAGCTGTCTCCCAAAAGTCTTCAGCGGTGTTCCGTTTGAACCAGTAGAGCTGTAGTGGAGCTGTAGCTGTTCTAGTGGTCGGGCTTAGGGTCTAGAGTCGTTTTACTCTCTTACGAGGAGCAAGCTCAACGTAGACTTTCCAGAAAAAAAGGCTCGCAATGCAAGATAGGCACATGTCTCAAGATGTGAAGGTTGAAAGGTGCTACGTACCTGAAGGTTTTGTTGAAAAAACAAGCCCCGGTAGAGCACTCTAAACGACTCTAAGATCCGTCCTCAGCCTCTTTCAGCCCCCTGGCTGTCGCAGGGACCTTGCAAACTACTCGCAGATACTGACTGGCCTCCAGTGCTTCGAAGCTCGAACTGGGAAGATTGGGGGGGCCGAAGTCATGCAGAGCTTAGGTCATAGAGTCACTTAGAGTCTTAGGCAGCTTAGGGGGATTTTTAAACTGCATAGCTCACATGGGTCTACAGCTGCCCTAGAACCATCAGGCCCACGAGGTCTTGGTAACGTAGCTCCAATGTTCCAGCATGAGGTCGCCTTCCACCAATGAGAGGTTTACCGGTTTACCTCAAGCTGCTGTTGATCACAAAGGCGAGCAAAAGGCCCCAGGCGCTTAGCGTTTAGGACTGAGGGGGAACCCACCCTGAACACTCCAAATCGCCCCGAAGTCGCAAGATTGCCGTTGTCACCTCCATGAAAAGCTATGAAAAGCTGCTTTTTTTGTGGGTAAGTGGAGTAGTCCGCTCTGAGGAATTCTTCAGTGCCTGGAATCCATCCTTGGCCGAGGCCCTTTTCCAAGGGATTCATGGACTTTCTCACTGGCAGCTGAGGTTTCAGCCCAGATTTTCAGATTCCTCAACCCTACAAGCCTTTCAACTAGCCCCTCAGCACACACAAAGTCAAATTGCATTAGCCTAAGCCATGTATAAGTCCTGTCAGCCCTGCCCTGCACCCCAAACACTAAACCCTAAACCAGGTTTCAACACCCTTAAACAACAAAACTGGACCCTGAAGCCCAACAAATGCTCAAACTCTAGAGGAATGTTCTTTATTGTGAATGCTTGTTATTGCTTGGGGAAAGATTTCTGGCTTTCAAGGTGTGTGCTATACGGGTTTGAGGTACAGGCTTCGAAGATCAACGCTCGGTACGTAGATTTCGGGGTGTGGGTAGCCAGCTGTTTTTGCTTTGTGGTTTTTGGGTCGTTTTCTGCTGCAGCTCCCCAGAAAGAGGCTCGATACAGGAGTCAAACCGCTGTTGTCATGCAATGCGTTCATTGGGGGAACGGGCAAGCGGATGACTTCGGTGTGACTTCAGACTTCTGTTCTGCCGCGCATGACTTGGGCGTGACTATGCTTGTCTGCTATCTGGGTCCAGATCCTCATCTTCATTTGCTTGTTTGGGCTAGAAACGCAAATGTCTTCGTTTGTCTTGGTCGTCTTTTTGTTGTTTTCCTTTGTCTTTTTCCCCACCCTCGGTGTGGGGTTGTTAGGTTTTAAGCTCAACTCTTCTCCTCGCCCAGAACTCTTCTCCTCGCCCGGAACTCTTCTCCTCGCTCGATCAACTCCTCGCTCATGCCTGGAGTGTCGCCGGAGTGCCCACCCCAGTCCCTGGAGTGCCCAACCCCAGAGTCTCCCTGGAGTGCCCAACCCCAGCGTGTCCCCGGAGTGCCCAGCCCCAGAGTCTCCCTGGAGTGCCCAACCCCAGAGTATCTCTACCAAGAGAGGGTGGGGATGTTCGAAGTAATATCATTTGTCTTTATATGTCTTTCTTTGTTTGTGTACTTGGAGAAAGCCAGATACCATATAAGAATGTCGATAAAAACTCTGCAAGTGAAAAACCGAAGCCTATCCAAGATGTGCAGGGCCAGGGTGTCAGTCACAGGGTGTCACTCAGTCAAAACAAAACAGATGCAGACCCAATCGCATTTTGCGCCCAAAGACTGGCAAGCAGTTAGTTCCACCAGCTCTGTCCTTCATAACAGTGCCATGTCCAGTGCAAGACCGTGGCACCGCAAAACCCCCCGAAGCGGACGAGACCGCGACAGCCCAAAACCCCTAGAAGCGGACGAGACCGTGACACCCCAAAACCCCTAGAAGCGGACGAGACCTTGACAGCCCAAAACCCCTAGAAAACCCCTAGAAGCGGACGAGACCGTGACAGCCCAAAACCCCTAGAAGCGGACGAGACCGTGACACCCCAAAACCCCCAGAAGCGGACCCCTAGAAGCGGACGAGACCGTGACAGCCCGTCTTCGTTTGCCACCCTGGTTATACAAAACCCTGGGGATCTAAACCCCGAGGACCTGGACCCCAAGCAGCACTCAATGAATTCATTAATTCATTTGCATTTTGGACTGGCCTCGAAGCTCTTCGACCTTTGGTTGACGTCTTACCCGTACGCCTCAGGACTTGTCCTACTAGTTTTAGTCGGGAATACGACATTTCCAGAAGCCCTGAACAGTCCCTCGGGCTCCTTCCGTATCTCGTTCGTCATGGGGTCAAGGATGTGAAATCTGGTCTGTCAGACCCATTGTAACTGTGTGTAAAGTTCACGGTTCAGGCTACACGGCTTAAGGTTAAGGACCTGAGGTCTTGGAGAGGTCTCTATATTGTTGGGTTTAGAGTTACACCTTGAACCAAGACCCTCGACATCTCCTCAAGCATGAACACAGCAGGCACGAACGATCGTGTCATTGCTTGATGCCGCGCCTGAGCAAGCATCTACTTGGTTGAGCTGCTTGTTTCGGGTTAAGGCTCGATTATGGGCCTGATTGAAGTGGTCTAGGGCAGTCAATCACGAGCTGGAAGGGGTGCACAAGATTTGCATGTTGGCCCATGAACTTTATACTGATTAAACGGTTGCTTTTGAATCATTCAGGCACCTGTGTCAGGAACAGAGGAGGTTGAAGACGCGGAGTGATTTAGGCTTTAGGCTGTCGGAGAAGACTGGTCTGGGGTCTGAGGCTTCCTGCTACTGCAGGGTTTGGGAAAGCACTTTTGTGGGCTTATCCGCAGAGACGAATAATCAGGTCTTGCCGCATCTGCAAGGCAGAGCCATCGGGCAGCGCCGTGAGAGTTCGTGACTAACCTGAGCATCGGCATTCAAGAGGTTGGGTTTCCCCTACACTAGCTAAACCCTTTCGTTTTCGGATTTACCTGCTTAGTTGGCCCGGGTACCCGGACAAAGATGGTGGTCTCTCGGCTTATGCCCGGGTTTGAGTTTGGTAATTTCGAGTGCAATCAGTGGGGTTGGGCATTAGGGCTTGCGGTATTTAGGTACATACGCCTTATAAGGAGGATTTCAGGTTTGGGTGTAAAATGGGGCTGGGAGTATTTCGGATTCAGGGTTTGGGTTAAAGTTGGGGGATGGGGTCCGCTGATCGTGGCGCACCCGGGTCCTGATCATCCTACCCGTTTGTAGTGTGTTCGAGGCTCCCAAGGGCTACGCAACTTCACTCAGTTAGTCCTGAAGCCCCAAGACCCTAACAACGCCCATCGCCGAAAGAACTTGACCCTGAAGCCCCTCCTGGACTCCCGACATTCCTAGTAGTTTGGTAGATGAAGTTCGTATTTTAAGGGAGCTGCCGAGGTTGTCCGCAGAGGTTGCGGATGTCCTGGTAGGGGAGCCTTAGATGCCCTGAATGTTTTGAGGTTGAGGGTTTATTTATGGATTTCAGGCTTAGGAATTAGAATCGCCTTTGCCGTCCATGCTGACTTAGAGCTCGAGGGTCACAGGCAGGCAAGAACTCGTCGGGTGACTATCTTTATGCCTTACCACCGTTTGTAACCTCATTTGAGGTGCCTGTAACCTTTCTGAAGCCTTTCCATGAACGCCGAAGAAACCCGACAAAACCTGCACCTAAACCAGATCTACAGCGTCTACAAGTCAGGTGTTTGCTCTTAATTTAGGGGTTGAAGTACTTCAGCGTTTGCGGTTCAGGAGCTTAACATTTAGGCTATGATGTATCAAGCTTGCTGTAGTTCGGGCTCATACATCGCGGGACGTGGAATCCTCATACGTGTGGTGGTCACTGCCTGAACACCAGCCAAGCCAGAACAACTTTGAAACTTAAGGTATTCCTTCCTAACCCCGAAGCCTCTGGTCAAGGGATGAGGATGCCCGAAGGCTTTAAAAAAACTGTAAACCCATGTAAACCCCATAATGGGAGTTTGACCTACATGATGTGCACTGCTGGGGTTTGGGGTTTGAAAATAGCATGTCCCCCACTTTAAGGTTACCTTTAGAAACTCAGAAACCTGATTGGGAAGTTTCCAAAGAACCACCTGATGCCAAGGAAGGCAGATCGCAGCCCGTGTTGACGCTCAAGGCTTCGCGACTGCAGGTCGAGGCAGGCCCTCAGTGATTTGCAAAAGGCTCGTCGGGTTTAGATTTTCTTCAGGTTTTGTCGTTTCAATTCACCCTCCCTGGCCCGTCTCTTCTACATCCGTCTGCCTGAGACGCATGTCTCTGCTATCAAGGAGGCAGCTGCCCAGTTCTTCCTGGACTTGGTGGTGTGGCCGAAGACCAAAAAGGGCCCTAAACCCTCTTCCCTAGCCTATAGTCGATTAGGGTTGAGTGGCCCATATAGTTCGAACATTTTATCGCCTGGGCCTTGAAGATGAAAGGGGTTTAGGGTTAAGGCTTGATGTTGTAAGTTTCAGGGACCCCACCTCAAGGAATGCAAACCTTCAAGTCTTAGGGTTTAGGATTGAGCTGTGAGGGCTCATGGCAAAGTATCCCGAGGCTTGCAGCTCACCATGGTCATGTAGCCTGACCTCTAAACACTGGACCCCAAACCCGAAGCCGTGCCCACCGTCAACCCTGAAGCTTACACTTAAGCTCTGTACATGTTGATCCCTTCTTGGACACCCGAAATTTAACGGCCCGCATCGTGGCAAGTAGCGAGAAAGGGGGCGCGCTGTTTTCAAGATGCCCACCCCAAGGCCCCTGAACCCCAAATCATATAAACCCTTGATTCAAGGTTCAATGAACCATTCAATGCTTTGGGGTTTTTTTTGTTTTACCGCGATCGTACTTTGAAGCTCCAAACCCTGAACCCATCTTTCCATCCTCATCGAGACAACACGCAGATGCTTATAGTTTAGGGCTGAGTTGCTTGTATTTGTCTGTGAAGAGCGCTGCTTCAAGCCTCGTGGCAACTGAGACTGCTAGACAAGACATGTGGCCCTTACCCTCACCAGTCAGCTCACTCCTGCTGACCCTGGTAGTCGTGTTGCCTTGGCCCCCTTCGCTCATGTGGAAAAGCCCCCTACGCAGGTTGCACATTCGAGAACCCTATACAAACCCTCCGACACTTGTATACAAATTTAAATAAGTTCCTCAGTTTATCAAGCCTAGAAGCCCTACATTTCCTACACATCATAAAAACTATGTGAGCCCTTCTATGCTCCCTGAACTGCTCAGGACCAATCACAGACAGCCCAAGTCACATGAGTCTTCCGTAGGGGATGTAGGTTTGGGGTTTGGGATTCAAGGTTTTTGGCTTTAGGTTTAATGCTTTAGAGCTCTATACTTTCGAACTTTAGGGTTTCACCCTAAACCCAACTCCTAAACTTTCTAAACCCCCAAAATCCCTAAACCGTTCGAATCCCTAAACCCGGGGTTTCGGGTGTGATGTCTTCTGCCAAATGCCGGCGCGGCGTAGCCGCAGCAGATCCGCCAGGCGCATCCGGGCCTCTTTTTGCTCAACCCCACCCCACCCTGAAAGCATCAAAAAACTGATGCAGAAGAAGACGGCCCCAAGCCACCCCACGCCTCTATCGAGTCCTGAAAGGTCCGATGCAATAGACTCTTTGGAGCAAGACGAGGCAGTACAAAGAGCATGCGGAGTCTTGGCCACTTGAGTCATATTTCGTTTTGGTTGATGTTTGTGTTTCTGTCTTTTGGTTCGTTTTTGTTTTTGTCCTTGAAGTTGTTGTGCATGAAACTTGGGTTTAGAAGGGGTCTGGTGCCTGCTGCAACTAGGATGGGTTTCAACTGGGGCTTCATGAAAGTTTCGAGTATATGGCAAGTTTTGCGCCCATTCCGGCCGAATCAAATACAACAAAGTTACTGCCGCACAAATTCCAAACCCAGGGCACAGTAGCCGGTCTCCAGTACGAAGTGTAAACGTGTTCTAAGTAGGTCATGTAGGGTCTAGGGGCTCCCGCCCTCTGCCTGGCCGTTCGCCCCCAACCCCCGAGCGCCTAAACTTTCCCGCTGCCTACAACACTTTCCTTAAATTCCTAACCCTACAAATTTAAACTTAGGATGGCAACCTGGCTTGGCAAAGGACATCTTGTTTCTGGTGAACTCCTCTTTGGAGGCGCCTTTGGTACTTCGAAGTAGGCTTTGGGGCTTAGGGTTTAGGAGTTGTGTACATGCAAAGGGTCCATAATTTTGGATTAATGTTCTGGTTGCTGCGAGCCGGCCTCATCCTAGGGGTCTCCGGCAGCCACCCTCAACCCGCACACTTCATTGTGAGGGCGGTAGTTGTAACTGGGCTTATGAGTAGGACCCCTGTGGTTGTAGCTGACGGTTCAGCACCGTATTTGGGGTACTTATTAACCCCACCTATGCTGCAGCACGTCTTTGTGCGGGATTGCTGGTAGGTCTCTCTAGGATTCTAGGACGCACAATTGTAATTACCCCTGTCCTTCGTTTGAGGGGTTGTCCTGGCGAGGAGGTAGGCGTCCTTACAAACGACATTCAACAAGGAATGGGTTTGTTTTTGTCACTCAGCTACTTGTCCCCGCCTCCCAGCCATGCATGCAGATGTGGCCTTATCTTTCCACATGATTTCGTGAAGGGGGCAGTATGATTATGCCAACCTCATCTGACAGCATGTGCTGTGCTGAAGAACGCCACAACTGGGCATTTCTGATGAAGCCCTAAACCCGCTAAATGGCGGGCAAACTCTGAACTCTGAGCGTTGAGTTTCCAAGCGTGTCAGCGCCGAATCCAATGCCGAAAGCCCCTAAGCTCCAAGCCCTATCTCCTTGCAGTTTAGGGGCTCAAAATTCAGATCGGCCCGAGGTTGCGAACCCCTCCCCCCAAAAAAGCAAAGAAAGCTGACACCATTAAGGTTTACGGTCTAGTCTATAAGGCTGGCGATTTCCATGAGGTTAGGGCTGGAAGCCCTCAGGGCTCAACCCGTTGGCAGTCTAAATCGTCAAGCCAGGAGAAGAAAAACAAATGGATGAATATGTATATATATATGTTTATACGTAGCTATAAATAAATAAATGAATATATATATATAGGTGTGTATATATAAGAAAAAAACAGTACACCTTCAAAGTATCATTGTCCGATAATGGATGTGTTCCATTTGAGGGTTCATAGGTTATGTAAACCTCCTCAGATACAGGCGCGAACTCTGGCCCTCACCTGCGAGCGATGCCATCGTGTTGTGCAGAGGTTGGAGGACTGACCACCGACCAGTGTAGGGTTTGGGGATTTGGAGCCCCATGCCCAGCCTTGAACGTTACTGCAGTGCAGTGAAAGCCTATAGGCCCTTGCGCGTCAAACTCTGCGACCCTATAGTGTCAAGAGGGCCGAGGATATTATTAGACCACACACCTGCAAGGCTAAAGCTTGCCGCGCGCATTTCCCTTTTCATGGGATGGGTCCGCAATGAAACCCAGCAAGCGACCTCAAACCCAACAAGATACCCTTTTCCGCGAGCCTGTCGCACTAAATCAGGCCACCACCCTGGAACATGAACCCCAATTGTTGCTAGCGTTAAAGCTTTCATTCTTCCTCTACTTGAAGAACCCCAAGCCTCTTATTGTCCGACAATCAAAAGCATGGAAGGTGCTTGTTTTCTGACCGGCGCTTAAGCCCTGCAAGCCCTCAACCTTGTACACCTGGACCCATGAAGTATCCAGAGCCTCCATCCGCAAAATCAAGCTAGGCGCGATGATAATGGGTGGCTCAAGCTTTAGGTTAGGGTTTCGGCCGCTCGTGGCTCCTGCTCTCAAAAACAAACTCGCGTACCTTTAAACCCAGGGGCCGCAAGAACCCCAAGCCACATTCTGTAGGTGGTTGACAGAAACCCTATAAACCCTAAACCCTCTTCTAAGATCCCCTTGCTAGCCTGCAAGCCGGGCAGCTCCCCCTCTGTGGCCATTTTGCCGAGGAGGCTGTGCCCCAGCGGAGGGCCAGCGATGGAGGAATTTACCAACTCCTGAAGGCTGGGCTTACGGACCGTCGCGGTCCCGAGTTGAGGCGTCAGAAGCTGGAGGGTTTTGTCAGGGCTAGGGTTTAGGCCCTTAGGCTCTGGCTGCATACCTCGGTTCTATGTATATAGGACATCAAGGATTCTTACACGGGGCTTGCATGATGCCAGCCTACCACAGCCTGAACAGGACCTCACCTATACCCTACACCACAAGCCAGAGACGCACGCTTGAACTTAATTCATCACCTTGTGCTTTGAGACTAGGAAGCCCGAGCATGCCCACGTAGAGTACCCTTAAGGCGAGCTGCCTTAGGTTATTAAGGCTTCCAGGCCACTTTAGCCTAGATCCCCTAAACCCTACATTCCCCACTTTGGAGGGTGACCTGTGCCATTTGCACAGCAGGCGATCGCGCTGCTGCTGAGGAAGCGCGGCTTCGATCGCAAGACGCCTGTGCCCTTCGAAGAGCTGGACAGGGCTGTGTGTTTGTTGTTGAAGCCAAGATGGGTACCAGGTTTTCTGGCAGTCGTGCAACTATTCCCCAAACAGTGTGTCAACACTAAGGGGTTGCTACTGTAAGTAAGAGTTTAAGAGTGGCCAGGTAGATGTTGCTGCGCAGAGCGCGCGGCCAGCGCGCACGGCCTTGATTGGACCATGCGTTTACTCTCGAAGCCTGCTCGCCTTTGGGACGACATCGTGCTCTCGCCATAGGTGCGGGCGTGGCCACAAGCGCCGTCCTCGAAGTTGTCGTTGTTTTTTAGGCTTCTGGATTCGCGAAATGCGAAACGGTCGTCGCTTTTGGACGTCTGCACTCGCCAAATTCGAAACCGACCTTGCGGGTTTGGGGCGTCCGTGTTCACCAAACGCGAAAATGTCGTGGGTTTTGGGCGTCCGTGCTCGCGAAATGCGGAACTGTCGTCGCGTGCGGGTGTCTGAGTTTGCGAAATGCGAGACTGTCATCGCTTTTCAAATGCCGTCGTTGCTTTTCTCTTTTTTGGACGTGTGGGGTTCGCCGAATGCGAAACTGTCGGTGTTCACGAAATGCGAGACTGGGCCCTAGGCTGGCATAGTTGCTTTCCGCAACAAGTGCAAGCAATAAATGAAAACAGTGAGGATGATGTTCGTTGCAGGTGGCATCATTTTGCCACGTCTCATATGTTTGAGTTTAAATATCATTCTAGTGTCTCATAATGTTGGCGCTACAAACTGCAGTTGTATGTCGAATTATGAGAAATGGGAGGTTTGTGTTATTGGGTTTGTGTTATATGGTATGTCTTGGATAATCGACGGCTGTGGGCTGTGTAAGTTGGCAGCCCGCTTGGAATGTGAGCCCTCAGAGGTGCCATTTCAGCAGCGGGGGACTTGATTTTTGCATGTACACGCCAAGCCAAAATCCTTTAAGCCCCAGCATTCCAAGGCGGATCTGTTCTTCCAAAGCCCCGCAAGTCTCCAGATTTGGGTGGCACCCCATTGAACCTTAAAAGACTGCTTAAAGTCTATAGTAACCCCTTCCAGGGTGAGGCCCTACAGCCGAAACCCCAAACCCTAAGCCCTTCGTTTCGTCCCCAACTTGAGGGTTCATGGTTTCACGGGTTCAATCCATCCCTGGAGCACTATATAAGCCTGAAGGCTTCAATAAGTCCCCAGCTCTACCGGACCCCAATCTAGATGGACCGACGCGTGCCCCAGCTGCTGGTTTTACCTTGATACAATCCAAACTGGCTCTTTGTTATTTATTAAAGGAGGGTTAAGGGTTAAAGGTGTTGGCTGGAGTTTGGGCAACGCAGTTGTTCATCCATCTTTTCTTTGTTGGAGTTCGCAAGATCTGATTTAGGACTGTTTTCTTCGCGAGTAAGGGGCAGGCCAACGCAAAACCCTGAAATTTGCCAGAAAACCTAATCCCAGGCAAGCCGAGAGGCGCACCGGGATTACTCCACGAGCGCCTCAAACCCTCAGCCTTACCTAAGGACATATCAGTCTGTAGTTACAAAGGCAAGGGAAGCCTTATCTTCTTATATTTGTCTCAAACTCAGATGCCCTCAACACAGAGCCCTGAAGCTGTTGCCCCCGGTGGGCCGAAAACCCTACACCACACCCCAGACCCCCTACGGCCCCACTTAAAACAACCCTCACCTCAGAGCCACCTCCAGGAGATCGACGGCCACCCACTGGTCGCCACTTGCTTCTACACTAAAGCCTAAACCTTAAAACCCTTAAAACCCTCATCCCTGAGCCGAAAAGCTTCTTTTGGGTGCCTGCATGCCAGTCCCTATGTGCCCTTGGCGGATTTAGCCTCAGCGCGCCCTGAGAACACCCAACCCGTGTTGGTCTGTCACCGCGGCGATGGTCACTGTTTACCCTGATGCACCATCCAACAAAGAATGGACTATAACTTGGAGATGACCATGAGTGTAGTTGGCTTGCAGGTTTGCGTTCTGAGCCCTCCCATGGCATCCCCTCTGCGTCCATGAAGAATTATATGCATGCAGATATCACCCCCCCCGCTCCCCCCCCCCCCCTCCCCCCTTCCCAATTGTCCTCTCGTGGTGTGGTCGCCTCTTTTCCCTGTCGCGTTGTGGGGGTTCGGGTTTAAGGTTTAAGGTTTAAGGTTTAGTGTTGAAGCCTACTCCTGTACATGTCATCCTGTAGCAGTTGCACCATGCATTTTTCCTTTGTTGCTTATAGGCCCGAACAGTAGCCTTGAGCATGTTTAAGACAAGCATGTACAGTTTCACATTAGACATAGTAGGTGCCAAACCCTACAAAGCAGCTCTTGTCTCTTCGTTTGTGCGTGTAAAATCTTCGCGTTTTGTGAGTGCTTTGCCATGGCTTTGAGGGACGATTCTGGGGAATTGCGCAGTCCACTGGTTTCTTCCTCACAGCCTGCTGGTACTCACCAGCAGGTTATGAGCCCAACGCTTGGGCAGGGCTACGGCACCAATCCACCGCATCCATCTCCACCTCCCGGAGGGGATGGTTTGCAGCACTCAGGTTCAATGCCACCGCGTGAATCAGGCCAGTCAGGTGCAGTGGGCCTTGAACCTAATACGGCTACGGGAGGGGCATTGGGAGGCACAGGCCAGCATGAATCATCGCGAGGTTCAGGGGAAGTGCCACCAATGTCGACCACCAGTGAGGGTGGTGAGAGCGCACACCAAATTGTGCATGTGCCCGGCAACACACCGGGCGGGAGCCCAGGTCTGCAGACCAGCACTGGCATGCCAGGTACCGCGAGTGGTGAAGCAGCGCCAGGTGGAGCAGTCGCTGGGGACTCCCATGTTGAGGGGTTCCTTACCCCGCGCTCCCAGCAAGGACAGGGTTTGCCCACTATTGCAGAAATGGTTGAGGGTTTCCCTGGGGCTGGGCTCCAGCTCATGTCAAGGGTTGGGGATTTTTTCAGAGTTGCCCGCACTGAGGTCATGCAGGTCCCGGTGTGGCAGGACTCACACGCAACGCCACCACGAAGTGCTACCCGTTCCATGGGTAGTCCGGGGGGTGCACCAGGGCAGTTGGCTTTGGGAGATGGGAGTTTGGGTTCTGCTAGTGGGTCGCCGCCGCAAGTGGGGCCACAAGGAACGCCAACATCCTTTGCACCACCGCACCCCGGAAGGGAGGGCCCGCTCCTGAACGCCGACATGCTGCAGCGCATGCAAGTTTTGGAACGTAGGGCTCCCCTATTGTACGGTAACATGCCTGATAGCCCCAATCCCGTTCAGACTCAACCTCCTTGCCCCAGGACGCAATTCCAGCGGAGGTTGCTAGGCAGTTGGCGGGGTTTGATCAAAATGTCAAATTGGTTGGATCTGACCCTGTAGCCGTTGCATTCGACCTTCTCAGAATGAGGCATCATGATAATAAATTTTTCTGATGAAAGTGAGTAATTTTAATAATAATACTAACAGTAATAATACACCATCATACCTTTTACGGGAAGAACGAGGGCCCTCATTCCCTCATTCCCTCATTCCCTCATTCCCTACTAAGAACCAGGGGGTTTCAGAAGTTGAGGGATTGAGTTTAGGGCTCATGAAGAGGGGGGGGGTGGAGTTTGCAAGGTTTCCTTATTGCCCTTGGGAGGGCTGTGGAAGGTATAACGTCATCCTGTGATTTGGAATCCTGTGAAGTGCTAAAACTTCGCCCGCAGGGATTTTAGCCCAAGGGTTTTAGGGTATGACAAAACAGCAACAACTATCCCCGTATAGGAACACATTGGTCCGCACAGAACTGCTGTCGTTTTGGGGGGACGCCGCTCCTCAGACTCGTTTTGGCACAGACAGGATAGTTGAGTATTGCATCGTGCTTTTAGTTTGAGTTTAATTTAGTCGGTAGTGTCAGAGTTTGGGGTATTTAAGGGGGTTAGGGTTTCGGGTTGAGGGTCCTAGGCATGTGAGCTTGGACGGGAGGCACGAAGTGGCCTTATATTTGGTTCTTATCTCCGGGAGGGCTTGTGCGCCTGAACCTTAAATCCGTATTTTAGCTTTTGACTTGTGCTGGAAAGGGTTGTGAAGAGAGCCATGATATGGATCTCTCAGCAGCTGTTCGAGCTGCCGCTCGCAAGACCAAGACTGAGTCTGAGTCTAAGCGAGAACCACCTGCAGGCGCCGGGATCCCTCTATCAGCAGCTGTTCGAGCTGCTGGTCACAAGACTGAGTCTGAGCGAGAACCAGCTGCAGGCGCCCGCCCTCTATCAGCAGCTGTTCAGGCTGCTGCTCACAAGACTGAGTCTGAGCGAGAAGCAGACGCACGGACCCCATCCAGCAGACTGAGTTTCTTGAAGTCCGTGGTGGCCAAGAGACATGGGGCATGTGGTTCAGATTTGGCGAGGAAGCGCAAATTCAATATGACTTTTGCAGCTCTTCGCAAGATGTCAGACGTCACGCTGCTCGCTCATGTTAGCCTGACGTATGAAGTAAATCTTTCTCCAAGACTACGGTTACTTAAGGTATGTCTTGCTGCCTGAGGCTGCTACGGGGCTCTTCCTCCCAGAGAAAAAAGGTTCCTGCGAAGAAGCCACGGCCCCATTACAACAACAAGAAGCGAGCTGCTGCAGCGAAAAGCCGTCGCAAAACTTCCGGGCCTTCGCAACTCGGTCCTTCACTAGTCACTACTTTGCGGTTTCGTTGTTTTTTGGGTTTAGGGTTCGGGGTTTAGGGTTTGGGGTTTCGGGTTTGAGGTTTCGACTTTGGGGTTTAAGGGTTTGGGGTTTAGGCCTTGAGGTTTTGGGTGTTGAGGGTACCACCCCGAAGCACATACACCCTAAACCCTAAACCCTAAACCCTAAACTAGTCCGCAGGTTCAAAGAACGCGGGCTGGACAAGTCTCGCTTGGCCCACTCTTCGATGGCAAGGCTTGCAACTGTTCCCGAAAAACATGCTGGAAGCAACTGGCGACCTTGCGAGACAGTGTCGAAGACTTCGTGCGTCGCTTTCACAGTTTGGAGAAGCTGGAGCAGGACGAGTTTGTTTCTCTCTCTGCCTTGGTATTGTGGTTTTGGGTTGCAATTCAAAAGGGTTTCGAGTGGGTTTTCGTTGTAGTTTGCTGGTCGGCCATGTTTGACATCTGAGATTCGCCAAGTATATGGGGAAGATGCTGAGACTGCAGGGGGTGCCACATCGTCACAGCAAACCAGGATTCAATATCAACTGCTGGGAATTGACTTGGGCCCCGAGTGCCTCGCAGGTGTTCTCGGGATGGGGACCAAGCGCTTTCGGAAGGCAGTGCGAGGCGTTCCGGATATGAGGTTCAGCCAGTTTGGTGGCTCAGTTCGAGAATGCCCCAAGTCGAACTCCATTGACAAGTTCCTGTTCGATCTGCATGGGACTGTTGCTGAGACATTGCCGACTGAGTTTCTCGGCATAGTCTCAGTCAATGGATTTCCGGTGTCAAGGTGTTTTATGAGACTTCCGCGTATCTCTGCACATCTCTGCAGATTTGAACCTGAAAGTGTGTGTGCCAAGGTTCCTCGGAGGCAAGTGCCGCAAAAGCTGCAAGCCACGGGCCACAGCCGGACAGCTTCAAGAGCTCAACTTGAGATGCAACCTTGGGGGTGACAAGGACGGCAACCGTCCTGATGACGACAACGACTCTGTGGGGTCGGATGGCAGCCCACACCCTGGCGATATCATCGTGCCTCCCGAGCAAGCGCAGGATGATATGGACCTCGTTCAAGAAATGGAACTTGACCGGGTCTTGTGGTCCAAGTTCCTTGTTTGCTATTTAAAGCTGTCTGACTCTTGCAAGATTCATGTCATGTGATGCCTTCTTTGAAGTGGGTTTGTATTCTAATGGGGAGGCGTGTGACACGTGTTGGGGTCGGGGTATGTTTCGCGGGTATGTTTCGGGGTATGTTTCGGGGGTATGTTTCGGGTATGTTTCGCGGCATCAAGAGCTACTTTACCTCCAATTTCGGGGGGATGTGACGGGGTATGTTTCGGGGGTATGTTGCGTGGTATGTTTCGGGGTATGTCTCGCGGGTCGTGCAACCCGTGTGCCATTTCTTAAACCTGAGCCCCCCCACAAAGAAAAACTAAGTGGCTTCCAAGGCACGTGACTGGTAATTTGGGGCAAAACGTGGAATCCTTGCCACGACGGTGGCTGCAGCCTGGAACAGTGATGGACCTGTACCGCCACTACTCGGTGTCTGTGCACGAAGCACACAAGGCCTCGTATCTTGGTTGTGTTGGGCGAGATTTCCGGCCATGAATATGGGTTTAAATGGGGAGCCACGCGACGCGTGTTGGGGTCGGGATAGGTTTCGCGGGTATGTTTCGAGGTATGTTTCGGGGTATGTTTCGGGGGTATGTTTCGGGTATGTTTCCCGGCATCATGAGCTACTTTGCCTGCAATTTCGGGGGTATGTTACGGTGTATGTTTCGGGGGTATGCTTCGTGGTATGTTACGGGGTATGTTTCGCGGGTGCAACCCGTGTGCCCTTCTTAAACCTGAGCCCCACAAAAAACACACACACCCATATGTAGCTGCAGCCGGGCGAAGAAGCGTCCGAGGTACACAGCCTTCAAGGCTCGATATCACGCTAAATGGTCTGCTGTCCTGCCTTTCCGTGGCAAGACTGAGTTTCCTGAGTGCGATGACTGCCACCGCCTGAAGCAAGCCATTCGCGATGTCCGGGCTTCTGGGCTAGCATGTTATATGTTTTTGGCATCCCTGTTTTGAA